ATATATATATATTATATGTATATTTTGCCTGCTTAAAATACTAACAAGGGAGTAGATCATGTCACAAAGTTAGCATTTAAGACTTGGTTAATGCCTTGTTTTCTGTGTTGCTGTTCACTATTTTCCTCTATAATTCGGTTGCTTTTTCATGAAGAACGACATTGTGATTGGTGTGCCTTTTTTTCCCTTATTTTTTTTATCTCGATTGATTGATAGACTAGTTAGCTTTTTAATTTGTTTTTCTCATTCCAACAAGATTACATATCGGATGTATCAGTTTTCTTACTAGTAACTGCTGGATCTCAAATATTGAAGTGTTTGAGATGAAGTTCAATTCTCAAGAGGGGCAAAACAATGCGAGTCAAACAGTTGCGAGCCTTGCAAAGGAAATTGATTACAAGAATCACCAATTGTTGGAGTTGGAACACAAATATAACGACACAAATGCGCTTTTTCGCAAAGTCGTTATCGGTCATACAGAAGCCATTAATGCCAAAGAAAGAACTTGTTTGGAAATGGAGCAGAAGTTCCATGAGTCCTCTATGACTAGCAGAGAATTGGTGAGTGAGAAAGATATGCTGCTGAAACGATATGGCACAGGTAATTTTGTGTTTCTTTGAAGTACTACAACTTTAGATGATACAATATGCTTTTTGGAGAATAATATATGGTTAATGAACTTAATTCATTTATATATCAAGTCTGTTGTCAGTATTTTACACCCAAATTGTCTTTTAATTTGTCTCATTGTCTTTTGAGGTTTCGTGCAGAAATGAGTTTGATGAAGTCAGTTAATAGAAAGCTGGAGAATGTTGTGGAATGTCAGAAGAAAGAACTTGAGCGTCGAGCCAAAGAGTTGGCAGAAAGTAAGACCCAAAATGATAAAGTGCATAGAGATCTGAAGGATGAGATTGCAAAGGTAAGAATGTGATTATATAAGATGCTTCTAATGTTTCTTTTTGGAGAGTGTATGAATGAAATTGCCCTTTCTTTTGTGGTTAGTATTGTTAATTTAGTGGAAATTGGGATGTGGAGTTTTGTCTTTCTTATTAGTCTTTGTTATTTAATTACTAAAAATACTGTACATGTCTTTCATAATTTTCCCTTGCTTTCAGTCTATTTTGATGTTTATATAACCACCATTAACCTTTTCATTAGTTCTTTTCGACATTTTCTTGCGGATCCATCTTTAGTTTTTCCTCTTTTAGTAAATGTTTCTTTTCGACATTTTCTTGCGGATCCATCTTTAGTTTTTCCTCTTTTAGTGAATGAATAAACTTGTGAAAAGGTTTATTTTAGCTAGCTCTACTACTGATTTATGTAACTGTTGCAGTTGAAAGATCAATTGCGAGATCAGATTTCTGTATCAAGCAGCAGCTGTTTGAATGCTCGGATTAATGCCTTGGAAAAGGAAATAGAGGAGAAGAATGAGGACATTCTGAGTTTCCAGACCCTCAACCATATTCTCGCTGCTAGAGATTTCAAGAGTAATGAAGAACTACAAAATTGTCGTAGAGATTTGATAGATGTAACCTTCCATTTCCCTCATTTTTGCAAGTTTGATCAAAGACTATCCTTCTTTACCATTAGTCATCATTGTATGTTTTTGCTTTCTATGAGAAATTCAATACAAGGAGCCGAATCAAATACTGTCATGATTTTTCTCCCTTGTAGGGCTTGCAAGACATGTTGAATAAGAGGACAAAACTTGTAATCAAAAGAATGGGAGAGGTGGATCAAATCCCTTTTCGAGAGATGTGCTTGGAGAGGATTCCGAGTGAAGACTGGCAGGGTGTAGCTGCTAAAATATGTTCATGTTGGCAAGACCAAGTGCAGGATCCTCTTTGGCATCCTTTCAAGATCGACAGCTCGGATGGGATAACACGAGTATGTTTACTCTTCACATGCATAGGCAGTTTCGATTTAATTCTTGCCAAAAAAAAAAAA